AAAGTGGTAGATAAAAGTGTTAACTTTGTATAAGTCATTGTTCTCATTGTAATTTAAAAAAAAATTATTTTGTTGTTGCTGTTGAGAATATACACAGCAAAACATACACCAATCCAACAGTTTCTACATGTACTATTTAATTACATTGATTACATTCTCAGAGTTTCTCAATTATTCTGACCCTCCCTTTCGGAGTTGTTCCTCTCTCATTAATATAAACTCACTGCCCCCTAAGTTTCCTATCAAATCTTTAGAGTTGCTGTTGTCACTTTGATCCATTATAGATCCAAAAATAAAAAACCAAACCTCCTGCCGTAGAGGCAATTTCAACTCTTAGCAACCAATATTGATAGTTCTTAAAAAAACATAATGCTCAAGGCAGACCATTTTTGCTAGTTAAGCTAAAGTATTATTTGTAAGTAATGGTTTTAAGAAGACTTCAGGGGATGTTTTTGGTTTAAGATTTAAAGATTATCTCAAGGCAATAGTTTCAGGGGTTCATCCAGAAAGTCTAGAGTCCATGAGAATTTGTAATTCTTTTCTGCATTTTCCCCTTTTTGATCGGGATTCCTCTATGGAATCTTTCATCAAAATGTTCGCTAATGGTAGCCGGACATCATCCAGTTCTTCCAGTCTCATGGCAAAGGGGGCAGTTGTTCATGGAGGCAATTAGCCACACATTCCATATCCTCCTTCCATTCCTGACTCTCCTTCCTCTGTTGCTCCAGATGACTAGAGACCAGTTATTGCACCTTGGATGGCAGCTTGCAAGCTTTTAAGACCTCAGACGCTAAGCAACAAACTAGGGGATAGAACAGAAGCATTAAACATGTGACTAGGCCAGTTAATTGGAATGTCCCAAGAAACAATGACCCTAAATCTCCAAGCCAAGGAATTAAGTACCATGAGGCGTTTGTTGTACCGAAACATCTTCAGCAGCTACTTTTTTTTTGTTTGTAATTGTTGTAAATGTATCTATCTCACAACTCTTGCAGATTCAACTTTTTACAGGTGTACAACTTATTGACAGCAATTACAATAATTGGCTGTACAACCCTACCCTTAATCAATGAAATTTTTCCATCACCATTAACACCTTTTTTTCCCACTTTCTCCCACCCCTGGTAACTGCTAATAAACTTTGATCTCTGTACATTTGTCTTTTCTTGTCTTTTTATATAAGTGAGGTCATACAGTATTTGTCCTTTTGTGATTTGCTTATTTTGCTCAGCATAATGTCTTCAAGCTCCATCCATATAGTAACGTGTGTGAAGCCTTCATTTCTCCCACTGGCTGAGTAGTATTCCATTGTATGCATGTACCCCTTTTTGTTTATCCATCTGTCATTGTAAGTTTTGAATGCAACAGGGATCTCTTACAAAATGGCTTTGTTAAACTAATTTGCTGATAATGAATTCTCAAGCAAAAGTCGAATTCTACAAGAACTTTATATTGTTTGTTCATATTTAATAAAATTAAGGGTCTGGAAGTACTGATGTGTTCTGTAAAATTTAATTACCTTCTTTTCAGTCCCGTTGCTTTGTGGTGTTTCATCTTTACATTAAAAAGTATAAATAATTAGGGTTGAAAATTTCTCTTTTAGAGGCTGTTGCTGTGTCTATGAAAAAGAGAAGTGTGAATCCTCAGAAAATAATTAAAATTATTCTTTAATTATTAGTTAAGCAATAAACCAAAACACCTTAATGTATTTTATATATGATAATGGGATACAGAATAGTTAGTTCAAATTTTTATTCATAATACACTATAAGACAAATATCGATCTATAATTCTTTAGCTTCCAGTAAGAGAATAAAGATGCCTTCTTCACAGCAAGACAGTGGAGGATACCAGGTTGAGATCTGAGAAATAATCAGAAGAAGCAAGATATATGATTCTAGCATTCAGAACTGCTTTCCATGTGGGGACATTTGCCTCTTTGGAGGAAGCAGCTTGAAAGTCCAAGGGGCACCTTTGTGAACCTCAAGAACGTAAGGGACAAATCTGTTTTTCAAAACCTGTCTAGAATGGAGACCCTCGTGAATCACCCAGGGTGGCCTGGGAGCCAAAGGAACTGTTTACTAGGAGAAAGAAATACCAGAATTAAACCAGTCTTAACACTTACTATAGAGTGGAAACTTTGACAGCACCATTCTAAAAATTGGAACAATACAAAGCACACTAGCATGGTCCCTGCATAAGGAAGACGTGCAAATCCATAAAGTGTTCCATATTTAAAAAAAAAAAAAAAAGATGTTAAGTTGATTGAGGGACTACTGATTCCCCCAGGCACCTAGCAAAAGAACATTCTCTCTAGAGCAAGATAAGATCAGCCAAGGACTCAGAAATATTCTAGGTATTAAACTATTCCCAAGTAATGAGCTTTGCCCTTGGGAAGTATAATTGAACTAAATTGTCACTGAACTAAAGAGCAATGGATTGAAATCATGAACATTTCAATACTCGAACCCTTAGAATCTGGACGTAACATGTACAGTGTTAATCAGTTCATTTAAGTAACAACAAAATAAAGAGAAAGGAAGACCTAATGTTATGGTTTCCATATGGCATAAAGCATTATAATTTGCCATATTTCATTTTCCTATATTATTTTTATCATTCCTTACACATGCCATGGACTAAAAAATCAATATATATGTAAGCATCAAAAATCTTTGTTTCAGAATGGTATTATATTCTTATTTATAGTAGACATAAGAAGAAAATTTGGTATACGATTACATTAGGAAATTAAGTAGAATATAAGCGACCCTATAGAAAATGAGACTAAAGGTATCTCCAGATTGCATCTAATATGCCAGGGTATAACAGTTAAGCTAAGAAAGAGAACAATTTGGATAACCTAATAATGGTAGATGATTCCATTACATGGGAAAGTCAAAAATAAGAAATGTGAATTTGCTCTTCCCAAATCTGGATCAGTTCCTAGGGCTTCTCCTAGTGTGGACATGTCACTGCATTGATTGTGATATTTAAATATCACATATATTTTCATATATGTGAAACTACTTCAGCCTGTGATATTTGACATGGCTATCTATTCCAGTGTGAAGGGAGAAACTGGCTCTGCTGGGGTTAATGCGATATGTATGCTGATACTTTTGACTCTGCACGATTTCCATCTTAAAAATTAACTTCAAAACTTATGTCTTAGCTTCCTAAGACTACTGTAACAACCATAATCTACATGACTTAAAACAACAGTAATTTACTGTCTCATACTTCTGAAGGCTAGACATCCAATGTCAGGGAGTCAGAAGGGCCCTGCTTTCTCCAAAGGCTCTGGGGGAAGTTCCCGCCTTGTCTCTCCCAGCTTCTGGTAGTCCCAGGTGGTCCTTGGTTTGTGGCATGAAAGCATAACTCCAGTCTCTGCCTGTCTTCTCACATGGCTATCTTCCCTCTGTGTCTCTCTGTCTCTGTGTCTCTCCTCCTCTAATAAGCACACAGGTCATACTGGGTTAGAGCTAACCCTACTCCAATATGACCTCGTGTTAACTAATTACATTTGCAAAGACTCTATTTCCAAAGATTGTCACCATCACGGAGGTTAAAAGCTCGAACATATATTTTTAGGGTACACATCTGATAACAGTCTGCCCTTTGCCCACCACAAATTCATATCCTTCTAATGTGCAAAATACACTCACCCCATCTCAACATTTCTAAAAGTCTTAACCAATTCCAGCATCAACTCTAAGTCAAAAATCTTATGTAAATATAATCAACTCAGAAAGTCCCAAATCTCATCTACTAAATCTTTTAAATCAGGTATGGGCAGAATCTGAGTATTGTCCATCCTAAGACAAATTTCCTCTTCATCTCTTCATCTGTGGACCCATGGAACACAGAAACTTTGTCTCTGGTGATTAAGTGCCACCACTTGGTCCCTACCGCCTCAGGATCCAATTATCCCCACTGCATTTAAAGATCACGGTTCAGTGGCAGCAGTTCCCAGTATAATTTCTTAATTACAAAGAAGAATAGCTGCAGAGCATTTCAGAGATACTGGGGCTCCCCTTACAAATTTATTTCTCACAGTGGTGGTGAAAGATGTGCCCTTTGACCCTTCAGGTGGGTGAACAGATCTTACATGAAAAATCTAATATCCTGTCTTTGGATACCTTGTTCTAGAGTATTTCAAGGCAGTTCTGGGATTTTAACTTTAGTTAGTGTAGACCACCTTTTCGTCCATGTTTCAGCCAACTGTGCAAACTGTTACAGCTCTTTGTAACCCCTCGAACTAAAACATTGAATTCAGAATCTCTGATTAGTGAGCTCATGTCAATAAATTTGACCTAATCCAACTTCACGTTCCTTCCACCATTATGCCGCACCCTCATATCCATTCTAACACATATTCCCAGATTTATGTCTGTATAACTTGGAAGAATCATGCCGTTATCTTGGTGTATAGTGAACCTCCTCATCGTTCACGCTTTGTACCTCACTTTCAAGGCATGTTAGGACTTGAATATGCTTATAGGTCTGGAAGACAAGAGAGTTGGCGGGGTAGGTCGTGAGGCGAGTCTGCAGTGTCTTATAAGACAGCTACCTCAGGAGAGGCCATTGCAGTTTCTTCAGGCAGAATAGAGTTAACTTCCACAGAGAGGGGCGATAGGGCTGCTTCTTTTGACAATGGAGACTCAGCAGAAATTAGGGTTTGATGTTCCTAGCTTCATCAGGATCTGCCCATATGTCTCCATGGCATTTTCAAAATCCTTCCCAATCAATGCCCTCACTTTAACAGTAGACAACCTGTGACGTTTGAGGTTCCGTTTGCCTTGGACTTCAGCCACCTGCAGGATGAGACTCTGAGCTTCCTTTTGGGAAGCGTCAGTCCTGGGGCTGCAGGAGATAAAGGTTTCCTATAGAGAAGACATAGAAGATTTCAAGTTATTTACGCAGAGCTTTAGCTGGAAGCTGAAGTGCTGATCTCATCCTTTTCTTTTCCCACTTTCTCGAGCACAGTTAGGAGCAACCAGCCAATCTTATTATACTTCTTAGTTTTACTAAAACATTATAAGTTATCAAACACATAGCCACCCAGAACCTTGCCTTTTATAAGCATTTGACTAGGAATATTTCACATATCTCTATTGCCACATCGGATTCCCTGTTTTGCTCTTAAGGCCTTTCAACAGATTAGTTGAGGCCCACTCAGATTATCAAGGATAATCTCCTTTACTTGAATTCAACTGACTCTAGATGCTAACCACATCTACAAAATACCTTCACACCAACACTCAGATCAGTGTTTGATTGATTCACTGAGTACTAGGATCGCTATGAGTCAGAATTGACTGGAGGGCAACGGGTTTGGTTTTTTTGTGTTGCCTGGCCGAGCTGGCACATAAAAAAACTAACTGTCACTTCATGTATCCAGTTAAACCTCAGAGAGGGATTCTAAAACAAAGCACAAGAAGATGAGAGTCAATCCTGCATAAATTAGCTATCTCTGTCTCAGTCCTTAAATAGCTTTTTTTGTTTTCTTGCTTTACTTAGTGATTTCCAGCCCTTTAGAAGTAGAAACAAAACTGAAAACTTACACAGTGTTGGCAAAAGTGTGTCAATTCAGAGTAAGATCCCTGGGCAAATTTTTGTTGATGTTAACTCCTCTAATAGAATTTACATATAATAATTTTAATATAAAACATAATATGTATTATTATAAGGCAACAAGTGTATCTCTAAAAAATGTGATTGTTATGGTGCTAATGATTTTTAAGGTTCATTACCAGCAATGAGCTTTTGGGGTTTTTATTCTGTTAATCACCTTAATAAATGACACAAACATTTATTGGATACAAATATGGACCCATTATTTTATATTTGATTCACACGGTAATTTGTTGACTTAAGTATCATGATCTCCATTTTACAGATGAAGAAATTGACTAAAAGAAGTATTTGGATCAAAACCATACAATTGGCAATTGACAGACATGGATTATGATTCCAAGTCCATTTTATTCCAAACCAGAACTCTTCCTATACACTATAACATTGTTTTTCATATGTCCAAAAAAAAAAAAAAAAAGACAATTGCTTGACTAACCAGGATAGGATTGGAGTTTTTTGAGAAGTGTATCAATACAATTTTTTTTCATTTAAAGAAACTCAATTTATATGTCAAACTTTTAAAAATATATCAAACCATAATACTATAACTATTTGAGATTTTTTTAAAAACAATGATAGATGACTTGCCTTAGTCAATCTTTTATAGTTATTAATTGAAAGAGTTTGAATTTAAAAATTATTTAATTATAACATTTCTCTTTGATACAGTCCATGAAAATTCATCTTGCACAGTCATATTAATAGCAAACTGTAATTGAAATGGAAACGTAAAGAATATCAGGGTTATGTTTGTTAGACCCGAACGTAATTGAGTTGTATAGCTAGTTTCGTCATCCTTATAGCTATACTGTATAATTAGTTTGTATAAGTTGTTTCAATTATTGAATTGCCTCAATTTTAAGAGAAAGCCCGAGCCTATTAAAGTAGCATAAGCTCTCTAACAACATGGCGTATTTTGTACTCTTGTTCTATAGTAATTAAGAGATAGCAACTGCAAAAATTTGGCTTACATGACTAGGTGATGAGTAGATAAAATGAAACAATGCCTAATATTTTTATTTGCAATCACAGCATTTAAGTTATTGTGAATCATAGAGCACTAAACCCGAATTTCTTGATGTTATTGCAACAATAATCAATGTAATCTTGTTCTCAGGCTAGGTCTAAAGAGAAATACATCAATTCATAATTTATGCTACATATACATACATGGAGCCCTGGCGGCGCAGTGGTTAAGAGTTCATCTGCTAACTAAAAGGTCGGCAGTTGAATCCACCAGCCTCTCCTTGGAAACACTGTGGGGCAGTTCTACTCTGTCCTATAGGGTCATTATGAGTCGGAATCGACTTGACAGCAACAGGATTGGTTGGTATACATACATACAATTTACAAATATATTTATTTGTCTTAATCAAAAACTGTTACTTATTTTTGTTTTTACTTGCAATTTACAAGGACTTATTCATGAGGGTAGAATATGATGATTCTCTTGATAAAATATAATTTTCTCTGAATTTCCCTATCAACATAATTTTACATGTTCATAATGAATAGATTAGTATTGAAATCAAGTATCATTTATAACATAATTATTCTCTACCAATGATTGTCACTTTACCTGTAAATGTATAATCTAG